TTAGGACTCTTTTTGGTTTTGCTTTATGGGACTGATGGCACAACAGGGGCACTGCTCACCCCATGCATCGTTAACTGGTGTCTGGGCTAAAAATCTTTCCATTGATTTTGGATATCTGGGGCAGGGTGAGAATTAAATCAATAATTTATTTTGAGATGAATTGGCTATCGTTGGTGACTGTGAAATTTAAATAGATCCTAGCGATCATTTCTACATTTGCATATCTAAATATAAATCAACATTCATAATCCTGGGCACTGAACCTTTTAAGTCCCTGCCTCCTATCCAAGAATGCATTAGTGAGGCTGGTCCAGACTGTGGTAAGCAAACTGGAACTGTTGACGGGAAAGGGGGAGTGTGACCCAGTTTCACTTACTTGGCCACAGGATGCTACTTGAGCTTTAGTTAAACATGCCTGCTAATATAACAGCTTAGATCAGTCTGTTAATTCTACAGCAGCATACTTTTTCCAAGATTGCTTTCTATTGCTTATCTCAGGAAGAAACTGATATTAGAATGAGTTGGTGTTAAGCTTCCAGGACTTAACACATAACATAAATAACTCTATTGGGTTTGTAGGTCTCTTGGCATTAACTACACCACTGTGTAAGTGGTAAGAAGAAAAATGCTATTCCATCTACTTTTCATAATCAATACACATATTATATCTATTATATTTCATATGCATGATGCATTTATTATAGTAGATTTACATTTTGTGTATTATGCAAAACAGGGATGTTAAGTTTTCTACTTACTTTTCTTCCTGCATTAAGAGAAGTAATTATGTGAATAAATACAGTGGTACATTGGCTCACGAACTTAAACTTGACTTGGTCATGACCCAAGTCAAATATCCCCATAAGGTTCAATGTAAATAAGGTTAATCCGTTGTGTAACTTGTTTTTTTTTAATCACAAAAATTTGAAGCAAAGTGACAAAGAACAACAAAGATCGCGGCCATCTCCCCCCCTCCACCCGAGCAGGAGCGCGGCCATCTCCCCCACCCCACCAGCATGACCGTGATCTTGCCCGTGTTTCCTGCATGAATGCAATCGTGGCCCATAGACAGGCGCGATCGTGATCGTGGTCGTGCTCGGGCAGGGAACACGAGTGCAATCGCGGCCATCTCCCCCCGCCCCCGAGTGTGATCACGGTTGGGTTGTGCTGGGAAGAGGGGCGCAATCACAATTGTCACTCAATGTGGAGTTTGCGACCTGAGACAATGTTTTTCTGAAATTTCTGTTCACAAGCCGATTTGGTTGTGAACTGAGGCATTCGTGAGCCGAGGTACCACTGCACCTGGAAATTTACAATCTACACTCAGGCAACTCACTGAATTTCTTTAGAACTTTTTCCTTTGAATATCCTTTGCAAGTCTAACTCTGGAGACCAGATGTAGGTGACATCTACTCTTAATACATCAATAATAAATAAAACATGAATATTTATTATATATATATTTTTGGGGGGGTTTCTTCCAAGAAACTGAAGGCAGCTTATACAATTCTCCCTGTGAGGTGGGTTAGGCTGAGTCCATGCCTAGCCCAAAGTCACCCCATGAGCTCCATGGTCGAATGGGAACTAGGACCCAGATTGCCTGGGTTCCAGTCCTGTACTCTTAACCACCACACTACACTGGTTCCCCTAATGAGCTGGCACTGATGCTCCCAATATAAAGCATGCCTTATTTTCTTCCTCTTTCAGTTGATTGTGCCTCTTAAATGAGACCAAAAGCATTTCTATTTTTATACAGCTATGACCCTGTAAAATTGTCACACCCCCAGTCATCACAATAGTATTTCCTTTTCATTAGTGCAACAGATGCATTATCTAGCAATCTGTTTGGATTTATTCTGAGCAGCAGCATATGGAGGAAAGTACATATGGAGCCTAATCATTTCAGCCAAGAGTGAGTAAACTACAGTCAGGAAGTTAAAAAAAAACCCATTGTGCTATTTACTGTTCCATGTATAGTACTAATATTCTGACACTGCAGTATAACAAGATTAAATGGCATAATTTAATCACAACTGGCATTATAAATCTGCATTGAAAATGTAGCACATTATACACAGATTTCAGCAGAGATTGTCCTAATGGTCCATATACACTTCAAGAAAAAAGCCACAAGGGGAAAAGATAACTTTTAGCAAGTTCTATACAACTTAAAATATAGCATTTAAAAGTTACGCAAATACATTATTTCTCCATCAGGGGAAAAAACAACACTGCTACCATAATTAAATTCAGCAAATCAAGGACAAAGGCAAAATATCTATTTTTTGGCATAATTCATTCAGGCATTGAGTACATTTGGATGAGATCCAAAGGAGAAGTGCAAAAACTTCCACTTCTTTTGATTAAGCGCAGAATGCCACAATGTCTGAACGTACAACTGTGGTTCATCTTATGTATGGCTAGTCTAACCAAGCCAGCTTTAAAAAGCCATGAATATTATAGCAGGTGCATTTGGGATTTGATGCAAATCAAAGTACCAATAGTACTACTCATGTGCATGAATGCATACGAATAGTTATTTCCCCAAATAACTCACATTATGTTTTCCTTGCTTTACCTAGAACACTGTTGCTAGCTAAGGCAGGTGTATTTTACAAGCAGAAAATAGGAGGGGCTCACATCATGCAAATGGAGCAATGGTAAAACGTGCAACGATTGCATTTCTTGGGGCCATAAGAAAAGTGGCCACTTTCCATGGAAAGTGCGGGATCTTTGTCAGAAAAAGAGTTAGCAGTCCTGGTGGGAGTGGAACTTGGCATAGCTTTCTTTCATTTCTTTATATCTTCACTGCAAAGCTATAATGTAGTGATAGAGGCCATGCTTTCCGTGCAGAGCCTCCTATTTGATCCAGGCATCTTCAGGTAGGTTAGTAAAAACTAGATTCCTATGTTCCTTGAATCAATGAATCTACATGTGAAACATGAACTCATTCCATACATCGCTAATAAATAGAGACACTTCCATTTCTGACAGTAAATGCTAACTTCATTTATTGGATTGCACTCTGTTTTACTTCTGATAGTTATAGAGGGAACACATTTCTGAATAAAGCAAACTTTTTTCCCACTGGGATAGAAGGAAGGTTGTAGTCCCAGTGCAAGGAAGGAAAAAAAAGGAAAGACGGGGAAGTGAAATTATGAAGATATGTTCACTTTAACCAGATAGCGCTCGACCCAAATTTACCATGTAAATCTACTCAAGGCCTGGAGAGAAAGGGAGAGTACCAGTCATCAAGCAGACTGCACAGCCAAGTTGGCCAAGGCGCAGGCTTTAGTCCCTGGGAAGTTATCTCTTGATCCACAACTAACACCCGCTCAAATAGCACAAGTCCGGGCCTTGGAGGCAGAATTTACGGAGGTATTCTTGGATTGACCCAGGCACACGACGGTTGTAGCCCACCATATACAAACAGTCCCGGGGCCATTGTCAGGGTGCCAACCCAGCCCTACCCACCACGATTGAGGCAAGTGATAATAGAGGAAGTAAGGCAGAGGCTCCAATTAGGAGTCATTGAGGAATCAGTGAGTGCTTGGAGGAATCAGCTGGTCTTGGTTCCCAAGCAGGATCAGAGTGTCCGTTTCTGGGTTGATTTCAGGAGGTATCAAGGTTTGATGCTTACCCCATGCCCCGGACAGATGGGTTGCTGGATCCTCTGGGGCAGGCCCATTTTCTTTTGACCGTAGACCTCACTAAGGGGTATTGGCAAATCCCATTGACTGAAGAGTCCAAAGAAAAGACAGCCTTTGCCTCTCCAGTAGGGCTATTTCAATTTAAATATATGCCTTTTGGGCTACATGGGGCAGCCACAACTTTCCAGCAGCTTATGGACAAGGTCTTGGGACATTTGTCCCATTGGGCTGTGGCCTATATTGATGACATTGTCATTTTTAGTCGTACCTGGGGGGAACATCTAGATCACCTCCGGCAAGTTTTGGTGGCTCTAAGACAGGCTGGGTTGACAGCTAATCCAAGCAAGTGCAGAATAGCACGACAGGAGGTGCAGTATTTGGGGTATATTGTAGGTCACAGGCAGATACGGCCTATGGCTGATAAAGTGGAGAAGCTAAGCCAGTGGCCACAGCCACACACAAAGAAGGAAGTACAACAGTTTCTGGGCCTGGCCAGCTACTATCAGTGATTCATCCATCATTTCTCCTCCAAAGCAGCCCCCTTGGCAGAGGCACTTAAGAAAAGGCAAAGTCATGCCCTAGTATGGATGGAGGAGATGGAACAAGCTTTTGAAGAACTGAGGACCTGTCTCCTCAGCCAGCCTGTTTTACGGTCGCCTGATTTCTCCCGTCCTTTTATCCTCCAAACCAACACCTCAACCGTGGGCTTAGGAGCAGTTCTAACCCAGGGAGAAGGGGCAGCTGAACTCTACTTGAGCCGTAAGCTGGAGCCACAAGAATGCCAGTATTCCACAATAGAGAGGGAGGCTCTAGCCGTCAAATGGGCTGTTCTGGCTTTGAGACACTATCTCTGGGGTGCCCCATTCACACTGGTCACCAACCACACTCCATTATAATGGCTAAGTAGGATGAAAGATGACAACCCCCGCCTCACTCATTGGTATTTAGCGTTGCAGCCGTACACCTTTACGGTTCAGCATAGGCACGGTCACCAACATGCTAATGCTGATTTCTTTTCCCGCCAGGGTCCCTGGCCCTTGCACGACGATGGTCATCCCTTCTTGGAGTGCGGGATATGTGAGGAGACAGAGGGGCTCACCCCTTTTCCTGGGGCCTTCCACAGGGCTGGGCCGAAGGCAACAGGGCATGGCTGGGAGACCATGCAGGCAGAGCAACTTGCAAGGAAGCAGCAACCAGGGGATACGAGTGCGCGCACAGCTGTACGGGACTGAGTCAGGGACAGCTGGGTTGAGGGGAGTGGTGCGCAAGGAGGGAACATAAAGAGGCAGCAGAGGAAGGAGGTGGGGAGGAGAGAGAGACGGTGAGATAGCAAAGAGTGTGGAAACATACGTGTGTTGGAGGAAGAGCTGGAGCGGCAGCCGCTGTCAGGCAGGCCAGGGCAAACCATGAGCAGAGTTGGGGCAGCGGTACTGCCGGGACGGCGCAGCTCATTGCCATAGCGACGGGGGAAGGGAGCCGGAGCAGGCAAGGGCAAGGCGCTGCAGGAAGTGTGCGGTGGAACTGTAACAGAAGAATAAAGGCCTGGTGAGTGCACCAGCTTTCTTGTGTTGCTCTTCATGGAGAAGCCGGGAAAACAGGTCTTTGGCCCGCAGCCCCTCCTGATGCAGTCACAGGGGGGTATCATGTTTCCTACCCCACCTTCTCCCATGTAGCTTCTGGCAAGCTTTACTTGCTTCTGTGCTTTCAAACCTCACTGGAGGTTCTTTCAGGACTGGCAGCAACATCCAGCAGCTTCAGCTGACAGATTCCAAGACCTGCATGTATGGGCACCAGGGATGACCAGGGATGCCATTGACCCAGACTCCCGTCTAGTCTCTTATCTGTGGACTCACTGTGGCAACAGCTCAGAAGACATTTCATCCTTCTGATTTTCCGGTAATGGTCCAGAGTGCCTGACATGATGTCACTCAAGAGTAACAGTGGGAAATGATAATGGTGAGTGACTTCCCAGCTGCTGCCACTAGGAAGCCCCCAGTGGGGAACAAAGCAGAAGAGCAGTCAGGAAAGCAAGTGGAGTGGGCCTACTTAAGTACTTTTTGCTAGGAACCATCCCTAACCCAGAACCAACCTTGTAGCTGGCCTTAAATGCTTATGTCAGTAAGCATAGGATCTGAGCCTGGAGACACCCTATTCCTCAAAGAGAAGAGTTGTCTGATGCAAAAATCTAAGTGGAAGTCTTTTCAGTGATCCCTCTTCTATTTTTCTGTATAGTGCCCTAAAGCAACTCTTCTATTCCATAATGCACTGATTTCTGTAATTAAGGGACAAGTGATTCAAGACATGTACTCATTTTGAAAAAGGAAGCCATGGTTTTGCAGGAGGAAAAAACCAATTCTGTCCAATAAACTATAAAAACAAGCAAGTGAAATAAACTCACTGTACTCCAAGATCAAAGTGTTCTTTACTTGCTCCTCTTGTGTGTAGCTTCAGCTAGATGTTAGGGTGTTTCAATGAATAAGAAATCTGTGATCTTTGAAATGCCACAAACTCAAAATAAATTACTTTTTCAGGAATATCTGAAACAGTCTGTGGATTTTAAGCTTTCTGTAACAAAGTTTTCTTCTAAATTCAAGTGTCATTCAACCATGCTAACCTTGATCTAATCTAAGCTTTACTGTTTCTTCTGTTTGAAAAGTAAGATTCAGTGGAAACTTTGAACCTCAGCAGAAGTAGAACAGGTCAGTTTAACTCTAATGAGACATCAAGTCAAGCAACATAAAAGAGGAATGAATGCATTTTAAGTGTAATGGAGGTGGGGAGAATTTCAACAGCATCTCAGTCTTCAGACAGAAAGAGGTTAAAGATTTAAAATGGTAGCAGCATCTCCTTACTAGTTTTTTCTCACACACAAACTCTGAGGTGGGGAGTTTAAAACCAGTTCTTTGAAATAAATGCTTACAAATTTGAATGCAAAGGTTGGATTAGTAAAGAATGGGAAACAGAGGAATGGATTAGGCATTCAAGAAAATACAAGAAAAAATACAACTTTCACATAATTTCAGCAAACATTTGCAAGCACATCTTCACTGTACTGGAAGATAAAGTGCTGAAATTTATAGGTGGTATATCCTCATTGGAGAATTATTACACATATATCATTAGGGACAAAGTTGAGACTGGATCACTGCATATCTCAATGTCATCAAAAGTATTCTGAGAAAATGGTAATTAAATGCACTACGTTGGAAATAAGGGAACAAGTGAAAACATATATACTTGTATGACGGGTGTTTACTTCCTCTACTCTCTACTCAAACCATTGATATTCCATAGCCACTACTTATCTCCTCCCATGTGTACACTCACTTTCATTCCACCCCAACCACGTCCCGTACAACCTCCAATACGTCTTTAGTTTCAACGTAAATTCATATCCCATTTGCAATATGCTGTCTCTACTTTGTCCATGATCTGAAGAAACGATCTGTGGAAAGCCACCAAGCCAGCTCTTTGAAACAGTTGGCAGGGCCCTTTTGAACAGTTTCCCATGCCCCTGCCTCGCATGTGAACACCCCCATGTGGCCAAGCCCTGGCCCAATTTAAGGTGTTGGTAATAACCTATAAGGCCCTAAATGGCTTGGGTCCTGGTTACTTGAAGGAGCGCCTTCTTCCCTATGTGCCAGCGCACCCTGGAGCACCCGTTCCTTGGAGACAGAGGCCCTTCGCCGGGAACCCTCTTTCAAGGAAAGCAGGAGGGTAGTTACTTGGAGAAGGGCCTTTTCAGTGGTGGCACCCCAACTCCTCAGGGACGTTCGCCTGGTGCTGTCGCTCTATTCTTTTCAGCATCAGGCAAATACCTTTTCATTTTCCTGATATTTTAACAATGAAATGTTTTTATCCTTGTTTTTATCACTATTTTTTAGATGCAGGATGTTGTGTGTTTTTACTGTTATGGTTTTTGTTCGTTATAAGCCATCCAGAGACTTCTTTCAGTAATAGATGGCATAGAAAAACTTTAAATAAATAAGTTCACAAAAGTATTTGTGTTGTGTTGGCAGGAATAGCTGGTGGAGCTGGAAAAGCTGAACTGCTATAAGGTTCTTGTGAAAGCAGTGCCATGATTCAGTGCTCTCCAGTTATTCCAGGCCATGGGATCTAAGCTTTTGTGACCATGTGGAAAATACAGATGTTGGCTCAAAAAGTTCAGTAATGCTTTATAAGGACATATTCCTAAGAACTGTCCTGGGTCCACTTAAAATATTTTCTTAGCCCCTAATTTCAAAGTAATACTGCACTGGAGGCACTTTGAAAATGAAAACAGCAAAACTCACCGACCTGGCACTACTACAGACCCTGTTTCTGCCACTGCTGCTCAAATCCAAGCAAGCTTCCCAGGGACCACCAGTGAAGAAGAGGCTCCCCTGAATGTCCACAGCCTTTTTTGATTTAAACAGCAAACACAGTTTCTCAGACTCTGGTTGGAAGGCATAGTTTGCATTTACAATACTTTTAATAATCAGAGGTTATACCCTCATAGGAGAGGTTCCCTTTTTATCTTTTATAAGTTTCTTAAGCAGATGTTCTTTTTCCTCCACCTTTGGAATACAAACTTTTTCCAACATTTCATTGTCACTTAGATCCCTTGCAACTACATTTATTTGGATATCAGACCCCATTCTATCCCTTCCCATATTGAACTTCCATTAAATCCTCCTTTTATTGAAAGTTTTCCTCCTCTTTCCTCTCTACACTTTTTGCATGTGCGCATGTATTTTGTAACATTCTGCCTGGTAAGAGTAATAGGGAGGTCTCTGAAGTGTGCACTTAAAAAAAAAAACACATTTTAGCTGGCTTAATAAAAGTATTACTCTAATATGGATTTTGAAATTGTCTGTCAATTTGCCTACCTTTACTTTTTAATCAAAAAAGAAGCAACCAATGAGAGTACTGTACTGTTTTACTTCGATCAGTGAGGAGAAATTCCAGGGTTTGGTTTATTTCAGGTGGATAAAAATCAATGATTAAAAAACCCCCAGAATTTTAAAATTAAATTGGATTAAAAAGATGCTTTGAAAAAGATAGTTGTCTATTTAAGATACATTAAAACTTGTTCATTATGAAATAAGGATTAGTTTCTAATTATGTAGCTGTTTATTCATGCAATGTTTAAATTTGTTGGTAAATTAACTCCATTAATCCATTTACTATGTCATGCCCTACTGACGGCAAAAGCAGGGGACGGCAGAGGATGAGGTGGCTAGATTGAGTCATTGAGGCAGTTGGTGTGAGCTTAAGTAGACTCTGGGGGATGGTGGAAGACAGGAAGGCCTGGAGGAATGTTGTCCATGGGGTCAGGATGGGTTGGACATGACTTTGCAACTAGGAAGCAAGAGTACTGGGCAGTTTTTCTGTCTAGAAGATATTATCACAGATGCTTCATTTTACAGTTCTCAAAACTGTGAATTTGTGTCTGCAAGATCACATTTCTCTTCTTCACAGCAAAAATGTTTAAAAAAGACATTTTTTAATAGTTGAGAAAAAGACCTTGATCCCATTGTACTTTTGCAAATCTATGTACAACCCCTCACCTCTTAAGTATTAAGTTTCAAAAATCAATGACTAGAAAAAATTGTTGGGAGTGAACAGATCTGCACAAGAAGCTAAGTGTAAGGAGGGAGAGGCAAGGAGTAATGAAAGTGAAACCTTTTGAGCAGAATATTCCTCAAGCCTTTGGAACTTTTCGTGTATAGCCTGAGGTTTATCATAGTATTCTTTCCCTGAAGAAGAAAACCTATATGGCAACAGGCCATAAAAGAGACCCAGTTTGGGAATATTTTAATTAAGTAGAAACCATGGTTTAAATCTGGTCTTACTGACTAGTGATTTAAATCATGATTCAAGTTGATTTGATTTAAATCAAATCCTCCTTGGCTTATTTACAAATATACAGGTTGAGGATGGAGTTATCATTTAAACACTGCAACAAACACTAAAAGTCCACACCTCACATATAGATCCCTATAGTAATAGTTCCAAAATGCTGTTAGATTACAGAGTCCAAAACTTCTGAACTTTGAGTCTTCTCCAAAACTTGCAGGCTATCTTGACATGTATGTTATCCAGTCCATTCTACACAACAGTTTCTCTTCCCCCTGTTTAAGGCATAATGGGGAGAAAGGCATGTCGTTTTACCACACTGCCTTTTAACCTCCCAGAAGAGTCTTTAACTATTTTCTAGTGACTCTGGTTCATTTACTTCTAATTTCCTCAAAAAAAGAAATACTTGCCAGGGCCATTAAAACCATCTCCAGCAAGTGTTCTGTTAACCTTTTCCTTTCAGTCCCCATTCTTAAAACAGTCAATTATTTCATTGCTACTCGGAATGTAATAAGTCAACTTGGCAGGCCAGAAGTATGTCCAAATTAAAACAAATTTGCCTCCAGAAAAGAGGCTGGACAGACCTTATTAATAAAGTAGACATTGAGAAGGTCATTTCTTGGGGTCTCAAAAATGCA